AGAACTGGACATATAGCACTGAATCCCTAGACAAAAACTCAGATATTTGCTATATGTCTCTCTGATACCTGTGTGAATGCAGGAGTCCTTGATGTCAAGAGCTGCACAATGGCCTCTTTAAGGCAGGGGATTAAGTCCTCAAGCTTCCTGAATTGAACAGCTTTGATGAATTTCTTCTGTTCTTTTTAGCGTTTTGGATTAGGTTGAAATTAATTCTTCCTTGGGAATCAAGGAGTATTTCTTATAACTCTCTTAGCTCCTCAAAAAGGGCATTGCGAGTGCCTCCCTCCTCCAGAGTAAATTGACCGTGTTTTGCAAAGAAGCCTTGTGAAAAGGTTTTCAGTGGAAGAGAAGGAACAAACAGCAAAGAAGTTAGTGTGATCAGAAGCTCACTGAGGAGCAATGCAGTTAGTTACCTGCCTGAGGCTGCGGCTTAGCCAGACCCCTCTGGCTGTTAACAGTGTGCCCTCCACACAAGGCCCTGCCATAGCCACTGCTGCCCGAAACTACAGCAGAAGCTTCTATGGATTGTTCAGATGTCCAGTTCAAGCCTATTTCACGTATGCCCAGAATGTGCCACTGTCCTTAATCTGGAGTGAGCTGACGTGATGCAGCGTGGAGCTGTGCTGAGCTGTGTGACAGCAGAGCTGGAGGGGCCACAGAGAGGGGTGGCAGCAGCACAGCACCAGACCCCAGCTCTCTGCTCCGTGTTGCTCCGAGCCCACAGGCAGGTAATGCAGACAAACTCAGGGCCCATACAGCTCCTCTCTGCCCCTTGTTTAGGCGAGCAGAAGGGCTGTGTGAGCCTCCAGGGCACACGTGGGGATGTTGAGAAAGCTCATCCCCAAGGTCACTTCTTCTGGGAGGGATTTCCAGCAAGCATTCAGTACTTTGTCTGAATCAAGGGAGTTTGAAGACACTCCAGTAGCTTCTACTGTTTCAGGAATTTCATCAGCATTTTCCTAAGAAGTCATCAAGACGAAGGCTTTCTTATCTGGATATGCAATCCTGTGGTGAAGTCTGATGTACAAACCCAGTATTACATAAAAGGAATGGTTCAGTTAACCATAGTATGGTGCAAGAATTTGCCACATCAAATGGCACTTACAGGGGATGATTTCCTATGATCCCTTGCTGTTTGTTTCAAGTTGTTTTTTTTTTTTTTTTTTTTGAAAAAGAGCCATGGTAGGTGTCATGAGCTAAAAGTCTTCCCTATTTTGTAACCAGCAGTATCCCAAACAACAAAAGGAATGTGCCTTTCTGGCAAGTATGTCTATCCTTGCTCCTTCCTTTTGTACTGGGACACGATGTATGATCTTAGCATGTTCTCATCTTCCCAGAACTACAGAAACAAAGGAAAGTGGAACAATTTTTGCAAATCTTGTGCTGGGACTAAATACATTCTGTCCCACTCTCATGTAATTAGTAAAAAGAAGTTAAGCAGATGTCTCAGATAAAGCCTGCTGTGTGAATAATGATAACCAGTCTTGTTTTTCTTCCCGTAGGCTATTAAAGAAGACGAGGGATGATCTAGCTGGTACCACAATGCTTACAGCTTTCTGCTCTGCAGCTCCCAGAGCAGAGTCCCCATCCATCAGCACTGTCCCTCTAAACTGTCCCTCCGGCAAACTTTGCAGATGTGTCACAGTACTTACATTTCTATGCACCAACACTCCAGCTACCCGACTGTGGCACAACATCTCAGCTTTGGAGGTGCCAGAAGGAGAGGTTGGACAGAAAAAATGCCTGAGAGCTGCACCACAACAGTGGCTGAAGGACAACACCAAAGTACCTGAGCACTTTGTCCAAGGTGCCAAAGAGATCGCAAGAAACTTCTAATGCAGATTGGAGTTGTCTCAAAATTACTCTGGTACCATCATGTCTGTGATTGCAATTAGTCAAGAAGCACGCACAGAGTATTTTGCTCCAAGGCTCATAGCAACTCTAGGAGATCCCAGGATGGAGGCTTGAAGGACTGGGACTGAGACAGCCACACTGAGACTGATACACCAAGGAAAGCGACAGGAAATGAATCCATCTCCTTTCGGGGATGAAGAGGCACTGAAGAGGGTTCCTGTTTATAACAGCATTAATCAAGCATTAGCACTTTTTGGTTGGTTCCAAAGAGCAGAATTACTTCAGGAATAAACTCCACATGGTGAACAGCTGGCCACAACTGCAGACACTAAGAATACAGAAGGAACAAAACCCAGTCACATCTAAAGATCCCCCGGTACCAGGGAAGACTGAAGAGTCTTTATGGCACAAAGCTCAGGGAACTTCTTCCTGGTACCATTTCATCTATTTCACCTTACCTCCCCCTCACCCCCCCCACTTTATTTGATGCCTCACCAGACTGAGGGTTAGTTTCCTTTCCTTCTATTGTTAAATTGAGCTTTGGCAGAGGAAACACCTGGAATTAGATGTGAGCTCTCAGTGGCTGTGGAGATGTCTTCATTGATGTGGTGCAAGGCCTGCACTAGAGGGGACTGAGGCCTCTGCCAAAGAAAGTGATGACAAGAGGGGCTGGTGATGCAAAATGGGCCCAGATGGTGCCAACTGAGTCACACATTTTGACTGAGTCAGTAATTGGCACAGAAATTGCTCTCAGGGGATGGTGCTGAGGGCAATGCCAAAGCCAAACACAGGGTTTGAATCTTCCCCCTTTTAGTCAATGAAGGCTTTGCTGACAAAACCACTGCCCTAAACCTGTATTCATTAGCCCAAATGCTCAGAGGTCAGCCTTTCAAACCTCATTGATCATGTCTACAGACCCAACTGCTATATTTTGCCATACTGAGTGTGAACACCCATCACAGTGATGGGTATGAGCTCAGGCTGAGCACGTTGGCCAGCAAGGAAAGGCTCCAGAGAGATGGACTACCTTCTGCTGACCTTGGCTTCACTGCCAATGATCGAAGCTGCGTTACAACTTCTACGCAAAGACAAATAAATGAAATCTAAATGTTGCAAAAAAAAATCTTTGGAGGAACTACAGATTTTCTCAGGCTCTATGTTGTGGAAAAAGATGTTTAGGCCTCCCTCACCGACTTAGGCTTGTCACAGAGGAGATGCTTCTCAAGCCAACGTGAACATACAGAAGATCTGTGAGCTTAACACCATGAATGCGACTTCTCCAGACAAGTTCAGCAAGGTGGTTGCCTCCAAAAAGAACATACAAATGTGTATGAAAAGCAGGTATGCTATGTTAAGGTAACTTCAAATTTTTGAATTAAATTCCTTGCCTGGGCTTGTGCAAGACCAATCTGTGCAGCAAAGAAATTTCATTTGGAATAGAAATATCTCTGCATGTCAGAATAACAATAAGGCACAGTCTTAAATCTGAAAACTAGAATTTAAAAGGCTTTTCTTGTTTCATTTTGTATGGGTATTATGCTGGTCACAGTACAAGTGATAAAAGGGTACTATCAGATTAAAAATAATGTATTTTTCTAAAAATTGTCATAGCTGTTATAACTAACACCTCGAGTTCTCAGAACCACAGTGTTAAAACAATCCAATTTGCATTATGCCTTTGATGATATTTGCTCAGTTGTGTTCCTCTCCAGTTGAACAGTATTAAAAGACTGGTATTTTTCCTTTCAATATTTTCAATAATTAGTGTTTAAAGTAGCTCCTCATTTGAGCTTTGTTCACTGGTAACTGAAGTCCAGCTGAGCTATAGGGATGTTTTTTAAAAAAAGCTCACTGCAGTTTTTAAAAAAGAAGAATGGAAGCATTTCTTTGCAGCTTAATTATGTGTATTTTAAGCTCCAGTTGAGATGACAATGTTGTTTAAAAACTTCTTTCTACTAAGGAAGTTACAAATATAGCCTGAATTGATATAATTAAAGCAACTCCAGAACAGCTCATACTTTCCTTCTTAACCTGAATTTCAATGTTGACAACACAGGGTGTTCTGACTGTCTTATGGTTTTCCACCATGACTCCAGAAATTTCCCCCAAAAGCTTTAACATGGGATACAGATGACAGAATTTCTGCAGAGTTCTGCAGAATTTCTGACAGAATCTTCTGTGTGTTTATATCACTAACTCATCCACAGGAAACATTTTTTTTTTAATTGAAACATACTGACTCTTCTCTGAAAATACCCAAAAGCACATTGAAGTAATTGTAGCTATGATCTTCTCAACTGATTGAAGTTACTCGGGGATGACCCTCTTCAGACTACAACACGAAGAGGCCATTAGCTAAGCACCTCATGATTTTATAAACTCACATCCATCCACAGAAATCTCCTCTCCCACTTGTGATAAAGTGGCATTACATTAAAGGTTGGACTAGATGATCTTAGAGGTCTTTTCCAACCTGAATTATTTTATGATTCTACCCCTGCTTTCATATCTACATAGAGGAACACAGAAGAATTCAGTCACCCACCCAACATGTGCAACAGCACTCCCAAGAATCTGGTACCCACCTCCCTCCTCATAACCCCTGGACTCAGCAGCCCCTCCACAGCAGTGCTTATGGAAATCAGTACTCACATAGCATCCAGAATATAGAATAACCTACCTACCTCCAAAGGTACCTCCAAAATTAAAGTATACCTAAGAGTATTTGTGTTCCGTGCCTGAAGGGCTCTTCACTCTCCAAATACATATGAGCTTCCCATGGCATATAATCTTCATTCCTAAGAGTCTCTGGTTAAAATTATCTGTGCAATACCTCAACATACTGCTCATAACCAACAACTGATGGGTCTTCTGACAACGTCTGTTTCAGTCTTTAGTGCTAGCTTTGTTTAGTCTAGATAGGGAAAACCAATTCAACGGCAAGACGCTGTCAAGACCATTACTGAGATTGCATACAGGTAATTGAAATGTGAGCCAAATACTATGGAAAAAAATAAATGAAGAAAAAATGCCAAAGCCTGTAATGTCAATAACATAATGGTTCAGCAGCCAGCAGGCTGATCAATACCTAGACAGATATTCATTAATATGAACATAAAAATCTCGTTTAAGAAATTGCCTACCTGTAAGGAGAATATGGGTCAAAGCATGTCTTGGTGACTTCTGTTATCTCCGGGTTACAGCATTCCCCACCATCAAAGTTGTATCTCTCGTAATTACAATCCATGTCACACACACCGTTCTGCTTCTTCTTGTTGAAGAGCGTGTGGCGCACGTGTCGGCAGTCTCCCCCGTCGTAGCCAGTCAAGGTGTGGTTGCACTCGGGATCACAGTTCTCATCCCCGATCTTGCTGATATCGCAGTTGGCCAGGATGAGTCGGTGGCGAAGGGAAGAGTTCTTCACCTCCAGCACCTCCAGCTCCCAGGTGATGTTGTAGCGGCTGAAAGCCTCATTTAAATGCTGATGCTGGAACTCGATCTGCTGCTGGCTGACAGTGGGGTTCTGGTGCTTGTCATCGTAGAGGTTTACCACACGGTAGCGAACTATTTTGTTACGGCGGAAGCTGGGGAGCTTGTTGTAGCTGGCAATGACGTCCGTGTTGTCACAGACTGTCTGTCCGCAGAGAGGAGGCTCTAGGCTGGTATCCAGCAAATAGCCATGATGGTAGCTGTACTTGTTCTGAGGACTGCTGCCATCCTTCATGGGAGACCAGGTGTTTTTCACATTCAGTAAACTGTCTTGAAGAACTAGCTGAGGTAGAGGCGTGTCTTGTCTGTGAATTGCCTGGCCCATGTCCAACAAGATCTCCTTCTGAGACCGGGCTGTCCTCCAGAGGCTGAAGTGCTCTACATAGCCCCGATAGTTCTGGTTCAGGGCATTTCCTCCAACCATGAGCACCTTGCACTTCAAGGTCAGAAGACTGAAGATGCTGCCCACTTGCTCTCCACTTGTGGCTACCTGGGCACCATTCACATAGAGTTTCATCAGGTGCCCATCGTACGTGGCAGCCAGATGCACCCACTGGTTGGGGAGGTAGCTGCGATGTGCTGCAATGGTGGTAACTTTGCGAGCACGGTCCGTCTTCAGAGAGAAGAAATAGCGGGGGTCTCTATTCCCCTGGTCACTCACGGTGTTAATCCCCAGGACCCATCCTCGGTCACGGGAGGTGTAAGAACATTTGTCATAAAGTCCTATGTGCCCCCAAAAAAGAAATATGAATAAATAAGGATGACAGAATAAATAAAGAATTTCGTCTTTAAATTGTATAAATCTCTCTCTCTCTATGTATAAACACACACTCACCTATGTACATTACAAAGTCAGCATACACGAAAGGCATTAAATCATCCAGAACGTGACTGTGGGAGGTCATGTTAAGACTTGCTATTAAAAGTCAAGATTTGCCAGTGGCATGTATGAATGGGATTCCCCTCTCCTGACCGAAGACCAAAACCCTTTTGCAAACTCTTATCGGCACAAAGCTGTACTGTGCATTCGGTCTTGCCTTCATTCAAGCCATACTTCACTGGCTGAAAATGCTCTCAAGAGGCAGTCCTTGGTGGCCTCACTGACAGCACTGCACCTTCCATCTAGCCAAGGCCCACCAGGGGCAATAAGCATGACATCTAACCACCACACAGCTCCAGAGACACCGAATGGCTAGGATAACCTTGGTAGGATCAAGTGACCAAATCTTGCAGAGAGCAAAGGCATCGCATTCAGGCTGCCTTCAAATTCATGCCTATTAAAAAACAGTAAAGAATCAGCCTGCACTGGTACGCACCAATGTACCTAATGGTGCTTTGTGCACCCTTGAGCACAAAGCACAGATCTACACCCAGAGAGCTCTCCACTGGTCCTCAATTCCAAAAGATAAGAGCCCACTCCTTCCCAGCCTGGGATATGAGGTCTGGCAAGTCAAAGACATACATTTCCATCCTTTGGTTCTCAAAGGCCATGGGCTGCAGAGACCCCTTGACTGAAAAAATAATCGTTAGAGCCTTCAGCGCCAATGGCCTTCCTACTATCAGCACGTAGAACGCGCTCCTTCCCCCAAGCCTTCCCTTCCAAAAGCCTAAGCGAAAATCATAAATCTCTGACAGTTCAGTCCTCATGAAAAGACTAAATATCCCCTTACCTCACCCCTGCACCCTAACCCTCCCAGCACTACAAGCAAATAACATCTTCTGCTTCTGACTAAGTTGCTCAACAGCCATCTGTTAACAATCACTCATTAACAGTGCAGTCTTGTCTAGTATCAACAGAGCAAAGGTTACAGGAGCATTCACTGTATTTTTCCTCCCCTCTCCCAGCACCCACCTTCCCCCTCGCTCCTCACACCCTTCCCCTTTCCTCCTCCTCCCCCCGCAAAAAAGACTTCTGATGGGAAAGTTAAAAAAAATTTAAACAGGGCTTTTTTCTGCACGCTGGTATTTTGCTAGGGACTCTGAGCTCCCCCTTTTCCTGTTGCCTTTGGAAGAGAGATCCCAGGGTTCGGAAGGTAATGTGTTTATTCATCTGTAGGGCGCACTCAGTTCAAAACCTTCTTGAGACCAGCTTCTAGTTTATACTGCTACTTCTGATCACGGGAAAGGAGAGGAGGAGGAACAGGGAAGGAAAAAAACAAATATGCTAAAAAAAAAAAAACGACATTTGCTGGGATGGATGTTTACCTGAGAAATTCATTATATGAAAGCCAAGCTACCAGTGACCTTCTAGAGTCAGGGATCTCCTGTTTTTTGAGGGTTTTTACATCTTCTTTATGGAATAAATACTTTTAGCAAGCATTCATTTTTGAGATGTATTAGAGCCCATAAATGTCTGCATTTTTATGAATCTCAAATGAAGGTATTTTCCAATGATAGTTTCCAAAGACAGTTGGCAAATTCCAAATAAGCCATAAACAAAGAAGTTATAAAAATGAGACATAAAAAGTTGCCATCCCAGTATAGCAGGCAGGGGTCTCTGGCAACTGGGCGAGGCTCTGGCAACTGGGCGAGGATGGAAACAGTTGTCTCTGGGTGTGAAGAGAGACCAGCGGCATTACAGGAGAGACACAAAGCTTTCCTCTTCTGGGAGACTGCCTTCTATTGATTCTCCCCCCTGCCCCAGAGAAACATTTGGATGTGCCCTATATAGAGGTATGGCATCCATGCGAGCCAGGGCACAAAAGTGAGGACATGGGATGTTCCAAAATATACCCAACTCTGGAAAATTAAAATTCTGTGGGAGTCCATATTCTGTTTCAATAACTTTCTCTTATTGAATATCTTTTGTTTCCAGTGTGGGAAATACTGAAGAAAGAGAGTAAAAGCGTATCCTATAAATGGAACCCAGCATGAAATGAAGCCACCTCTCCTGAAAGGAGACCTTTTTATAGGTACACTATGATCTCATCTTATCATAATAAGACCATCAGAGCTGGTCAGACGTTTTTTAACAGAGCTTTCTCCTGCCACCTTTGCAGCCCAGCATCCGAATTCTCCAGGCCTGCAGGCCCAGGGCAGCTGCGCACGCAATAGCTGCTCCACCTGTGTCTTACGGCATCCAAGCTCCCTGCTGTCGGACGGAGGGCTGGAAGTCCTGGAACAGGCTTCTGGGGTCTCCAGCTCTGAGGAAGTCCACCATACAGTCTTTAAGGGTCAAGTTTTTTGGCTTTTTGTACTGACCGGGGCTGGAAATATTCCCCTAAAGAACTAATAAATTATTGTGGAATGGAAATTCAGTTTCCTAGCCAGGATTAAAGAACATCTTCCTCTCTCTCTGAAGTGCTGCATGATGCTAGTGATTGACCTCAGCTGAACAGATGGAGCTGCTGGAGGAATACTACAGAATAGTAGCAATCCTCCCTTGCCTTTGAGCATTTAAACCCTGATGTGATGCAACGTGTCTTGAGTTTGGCTCAAACAGCTGCCATCAATTCAAGATTTACAGGGAGCCAAAGGAGGGCAGAAAAAGAAAAAAAACAGCGACAATAGGGACACCACTGAACATGCCAGTATGAAAGCTGCTGAACTAAAACAGTCTACTATTCCAGTTCCTTACATTTTCTAGTTTAGGGCAAAGGTCATTACTGAATCCATATGTCGCATGCAGTATTCTTTTCTCAAACTTTTACTATTACATACATCCAACTCTTGATGAAAAGATGGATTGATCACAATACCTTCAGCAGGAAGACTTGTTTTATTCTTAAGAGAAAGGAAAAAGAATACGAAAAGGGATGAGAAACCCGCACTCCCTATAACTTGCACAGTCGTGCCATTTCTTTATGACCTTCTTTTGCTTGTATATGCTGTACCTACTTTCCCAGTCCTTCGCTTACTTTTGGCTTTAGACTACGAATCCTCCGGCTAAGGGAGTGTCACTTTTCCGTTTTGTCCCCAGCACAATGAAACTAATTTCAGCTGGGACTTTGGATGTCATAATAAAAGAATTTATTACTTCTTCTATGACAACTAATAAGGGCAAAACCATTGGATGAGGGACATGTGAAATAATTGCCAGAACTTCTGAAAACTGAATAATTTGATGTTTTCACAATTTATTTCAATTTAGTAAAAGGTTCCATAGCCATGAGTTATTTCTTAGACATAATTAAGAACATTTCAAACAAGAAGAGGCCTCTTTTACCCCAAACAAGGCTGTTTTTGAGTAAAATCACCCCCTCACAATGGTTGACACTGAATTTCAAAATTCAGCTGTGACCACAACCAACATTTACATGAAAAACATACAGAGTTTAGATGCTCATTTACACGGGGAATTCTTTACAATAATGTGTCAAAGGACATTTTTAGCTACTTGGTGTCCCTTAAGAAACCAAGAGTGGTGTAAAGAGGCCTCATGGTAAATGAGACTCAAGCCAACGACTGCAAAACCACAATTTGGCGAATATGCCTCAAGTTTCCGAGCCAAGAAATGGTGCGAAATAAAACTGATGTTTGTTTTCCCCACAGCAATTAGATTAAAAAAATATGTACAAGTCTCATACAGCAGCAAACAGTTTTCCTCACTTCTGCTTGCCTTGAGTTGCTAGAAAGGGATGGAGCTGCAGCTGAGAAGAATACTGACAGCCCTTCTCACCCCTCAGTCTGAGTGATTTTTTTCCCCGTAAAGTTCCTATTCCTGAAGCCCGGAGGATTAAAACAGAATTTATCTTTTATTAAAAAAAGAAGAGGCACTAGTTCAGCTTTCCAGTAAGAGTCATCGGTAACCGTCCTTCCGCACAGAAGTGAGTCACTTTTCAGATGGCTCCAGAGGAGCGCGAACACATCGGGATGCCACGTTCCCGTGGGCTGAGACAGGGGGGGCCTCCGATGGCCCATCGGGCTCCTTCCACCCCATCGTGTTTGTCCCATGCTGGAACAGTAAATTCCTAAGGCACCGAGGTACTGAGGACTGCTGGAAGATTAAACCCCAAAGGCCTGGTGCCAAAAAGCAAATAGGGAAAACCAGAAGTACAGTCTCTGCCTTTTTTTCATACAAGTGAAATATCACTTGTTTGGCTACCAACCCACAACTGCTCCAGAATACAACTGCTCATCACACCTGAGCTCCCCCAGGGAGCCCCAGCCATGATTTACACCTCAGTTTGTTCCCAGGCCTTCACCGGGACTGCAGAAGAGGGGCCTCCGCGCGCAGGACCCGTGCTCTGGGCTCATGAACAGCCACTCCGGGAACAATGTCCTGGGTGAGGACACGAGGCTTTGCCATAACTGAGCTCTGTAACCGAGCTCACGATGCCGAGGTTGGAGTAAAGGATTATCGGGAGCAGCCCCAGAGAAACAGGGACGCACAGCTAGAGGCTGTAGCTGCTGGAGGCGTAAGAAGCTCTCTCTGTGGGCACAGCTTGAAAGAAGAGGCCGAAGTAGCCCAAGCAAGCTGCTGTAATCCATTTTAATATTATCAATAACAGACTCCAGACCTCCCCTGGTTGCCTCAGTGCTGTTTCTTACATCTTGCAAACAGCAATCTTTCCACTAATCAGCCCAGCCATTACCTAAGAATTTATTTCTTTACGCAGAACAAAGTTTCGCCCCTTTGCTGAGCAATAGGAAGGGAAGGAAAAAAAAAAAAAAAGAGAGACTTGTTATGCTTTATTTTCCAGGAGCTGAGGCTGGGGGAAGGGGAAGAAGGAGGTCAGTTCGACTTTGAACACATCAGGTGTGCTGTGGAGCCCGTCACAGCC